GCGTCCGTGGCCGCAGCCGTGGGGAAATCACGGGTGGGACGTGCCGGCCTCCACTGCTGCGCCGGAGCCGGGGGACAGTGCTGCAGCCAGGGCTCGGGTGCTTTGCTGGGGAGAAGCAGGGTGCTGGGCAGGGAGGGCTTTCGCTGAGCATCCGAGTCACCCCATCGCCTCACCTGGCACCCAGGTGCCGCATGGATCCGGCTTTGCCCCCTCCTCTGCCCCCCACGGCGAGCCGCAACGTCGCGCAGGGTGCGCGGCGCAGCCAAGGACCTTGCTGCAACAGGGCACAGCTTTTGGTACCAAAAGTCTTTGGAGCAACTGGATGGATTTGCAGCTCCCGTGTACTGACATCCCCTCACCTGCTGGCAGACGAGAGGAGGCCAAGTCGCCGCTCGCGGGGCTCAACGTTGTCCCACCTCCAGTGACACTGTCACCACCGGCGTAAGCTCCCACAGCCAACACGGCCCTCAAGCCCCAGCACAGAGGTCACCCCTACTTCTCCCCGTGCCCCTCACGTCTGAGTCAAACCCTGTCTCGTGGTCCACACGCTTCCCACCTCCTACCGCAGACGCAGCCAGAGGCCACGGTAATAAGGTGCCGCCTACGATGTCCCAGCGGGATGGGACTTTCCAAGCACAGACGAATTGAAGCTGCTCCCCTGCAAGGGAACCATCACTTCGAGCACCTGAAGGTATCGCTGCAATCACAGCATAAAAACCAGGCAGTGATGGAGAGGAGGGTGGCTGAGGGAAAGACAGATGGAGATGTGAAAAAAAAAAAAAGTCTCCGAGTCTTTCATCTTAACAGCGAGGACTTGGAGCAGCTCCTCGAGAGCAACGGAGATCAGCAAGGAGGCAGAAACAGAAAGTCAGTGGGTGCGTGGCAGGTTCAGTGCTTTGGGAAACGGGGCCGGGCTCCAACAGCCCGCAGGCTGGGCTGCCGCGGAACGGGGCCGGGCTCGCAGGAGAGCAGCCTCCCCTCCGCCTCCCCAGCACCCCTCACGCTGCACAGGCGCTGATTCCGCCTCCGCTTCAGGGGGCTCGCGGGAGACTCTCAGCCTTGTAAATGAGACCAGATTTGTTTCTGAGTGGCTCTGGCTCCTCGCCTTTTCTTTGTGGAGAAGGGCCCTTTCTTTTCCTCGCCCTCAAATTGTTGGATTTTTCTTTTTTAATGACCTTATTTTTCCTTGACCACAACTAAAGGCTGCTCCCAAGAGCCAGCTGAGTGCATCAAACCATTAGCAAATTCTTCCTTCCAAAGCAAATTAATACATAAAAAGTCTAGCTTCTGTTTACAAAACATCCGTCCCTCATTAATAAATATCAAATCAACTTCTACAGAACAAATGACGTGCCCTGGAAGTGTTCATAAGACACACGGTACCATTTGCCTCCTTATTTGGGAGCAGGAGAGGATGCAGCGAGCTTTTATAGCCATCCTCACCTTTTCTCTCGGGACAGGTAAGTTCAAGCGGGGTAGAAAAGCTTGGAGGAATTCTGTTCTCATCCATGTGAGAAGGGATTCACCTGTGTTAATGCCGTTTTTCACATCCACAGCTCCGTACCCTTTCTCCTTTGGTACGTCTCTCTCTCACAGGCTGAGATCTTGCCTGATCCTTTTCCGATTCAAGCGGAATCTTTTTTTCTAGCAGGGGCTGCTCCGAGGTACGTCTGCGACCTACTACGATGTGGTTGAGTACCTGAACGTTTCCTCTCACAGCAAGCTGCATGCACACATACTGCCCAAGACGAGCTTGAAGGAGCCTCTGGAAGTGAAGATGCATTTTATGCTGGTGGCCATTCCCTCTGTGGTAAGGACCCAAACCTCCTGTCGAGTCTATAGCAGAAAGCGGGGTGATTGCTAGGTTGGGGTCCGAGTCTTTGGCCAGGCGGGGCTGGGCCAGCAAGGCCACAGGGATGAGAATCAGCCCCTTCCACTTCTTCAGCTTTCTGCTGTTTGAAAGCATTTTTGGAAGATCTGGAGTATTTTCTCCCTCCTACTTCAGGAAAAAGTCCAGAGGCAGGCACGGACAAACAGCCCGCTTTGTACCAGGCTCTGGAAGCGACTGCGGGGCGCCTGAACCGAGCAATGCAGTTGCAGGGCACTGGCATGCAAATGCTAACAATAATCTATTTTTCTTCAAACCATTGGATCTCATGCTCCCTCTTCTCCACGGCCGTAGGACCGAGACCCTGGAGCTCTCCTCCTGAGCTGAGTTTCTGCAACCTGTCCACTGCAAGAACAGGGGAGAACTTCTGGGCTCTGCATGGGATGTACCTAAGAAAATCAGCTCAATATCTTCCCTTTTGTTTCTCCAGGTCGAAAAGCTCCAGATGGTCACTTTTTACTTTGTGTTGAACCTGGTAGGTCCCTCAAGGGTGTTTCTCGCCTGTGATGCCCAGCACGATGGCTGGTGCCAAGCCCAACACTCATTTCTCTCCTGCAACTTCTTCCCCCAGGAGTGGAAAAACTCTTTTGCAACCTGGAACCCGCAGGATTTCTGTAACATTTCCAAAGTCGTTCTGCCCACGGATACGTATTGGTCTCCCCCCATCTTCATTTTAGAGCGGTAGGTTTCCCTTTCATTTTTATCCGCTGGCTTAAGGGAAATATAATGGGTGCAAACTGTTGCTGTTATTGTAGGAAATGGGATAAACTCATTTGGTTAAAAGTTGTTCCCGTGAGCTCTCTGTAACCAATAACCTCGTAATTTAGATTAATGGCGACCAGAGTTCATACAAAGCACTTTGTGGCTCTGTAATACTGTAACGTCTCCAGAAATGTCCCATCTGGGCTGCAGTTAAAGCCGAGGAAGCATCAGAGGCCGGCAATGTCGTGGAATGGAATGACCCTTAGCCATTTGTTGTAAGACAGAGGACAGCCCGCTGCGGGTCTGACAGAGGGACAGCACCGCTGCCGGCCCTTCAGCCGGGGGGAAGGACGGGGAGGCAGCTCTGCAGAGCCAGCAGCGAGCCCCTGCCCCGGGTGAGAGCGGCAAGCGGAGGGGAGAGAGCAAGAAGTTTCCTTAGGAGGCGCAGGGGGAAGAACCAACTGTCTTGTGCGTGAGCTCAGCTGCTACAAACCTCAGCCCAGAGGCGCTCACCAGCCCTTCTTCAAGCCCCAGGTTTTCTCTCCTCGCTACTACCTCCAATGGCGGGGTGACAGCGCGGAGCCCCCCCCAAAAGGGTGCTTACAGAGCCCCCAAAGGGTGCTTACAGACTCCCCCAAAAGGGTGCTTACAGAGCCCCCAAATGGTGCTTACAGACCCCCCCAAAGGGTGCTTACAGAGCCCCCTAAAAGGGTGCTTACAGACCCCCTCAAAGGGTGCTTACGGAGCCCCCAAAGGATCCTTACAGCCCAGGCTTTTGTGGGACTGAGGAGCATCGCAGCAGCGTCTCGGAGCTTGGTCGCTCTCCAGTTTTGTTTCCTCCAGAGTGAACGGACAAAACTCGAACTTGGACTATATGGCCATCACGCACAACAGCAGCTTTAATTCCACCCAGCCCTTCCAGGTTACCTTAACGTGCAGCTTGATGATCCTCAAGTTTCCCTTTGACACCCAGACGTGCAACTTGAGCATAGCTTTGTTCCTCTACCCAGGTACAGCAGCACGCTGGGTTTTACCGTAGCTGGGCTAAATTTGCAGGAGGAGGAATAGGTGAGATGGACGCTGGCTAACTCCTGGGCTCCCTTAGCAGCACCGCACGCTCACGCTTAGTGGGGTTGAGGTCATGTAAGACCAGGAAAAATGAGCTAAACCGCTGTCGTTCTGCGTTGGTGTGTTTCCCAGCAACACCTCTGGAAGCATCTGGATGTTCTGGGGCCGGTACCCGCCCCGCCGGGGCCGGTCTCCACAAACCGAGAGACTAGCAGGCTTCTTCCAACAAGGCTACTTGTTCACATAGGATTTTGCAGGGCTGCTCTTTAAACATACCTGGAAGCCATGGAAACGAGAGGAAATGAAGGACAGTTTCAGGGATCCAAACTGCAGTTCATCCCAGCAGGAAGGGTTGAAGAACAAGCAGAGGCGACACAAAACCCTCAGCTCACATCCGCAAAGCACAACTGCCCTAATTCACCAGCCATTTCCCCTCTGATCCGCGTTCCCAGAGGTCCAGCCACGTCTCTTGGCCAGAATCCTTTTTAATTTCTCCCTGATGGGCTAAGAAACCCCAGCAGCGCGAGCAACGTCGCCTCTCCCCATCTGCACACGCTCTTGGTTGGGAGCGAAAGGGAGAGGAAATAACTGACCTCTAATAAATACCTAAATTTTGCAACTTCTCTCCTCCTCTCCCTCCCGCCCAAGCAGTAACAGACCTTGTCATGAAGACGAGACGGACACCAGCTGAGATGATGAGAGACAGCCAGAGTTACTTCCTAACTGATGGAGAATGGAAGTTCACCAACCTGAGCATCATCGACTACAGAGAAAAGCTGGACGATGAAGAATTTTCTGTGGTCACCTACGTGGTACGGCACTACTTTCATATTATATTGCACTGATTTGCCACCAAAAAAAAGTATGAAATAAGATAATTTTCTACATTAGGGAACAAGCATTCGCCCAACACAGTAAGTTACCTCTTGCTCACCTAAATTTTGTCCATCTTCTTCAACAGATTTCCATGGAGAGACGACCCACTCTGTATATTTTGAACCTGATCCTCCCAACATGCGCCCTGTATCTGCTGGATATGGCTGTGTTGTTTGGACCCAGCTCTCTCGAGGAGAAACTCAGTTTCCAGATTGCCATCATCCTCGGCAGCTCCATGTTAGCTGTGGTTCTCAACAACATCCTTCCAACGTCCTCCAACAAACCACCTGTAATAGGTACCCATCTTTGTTGAATAAAAACTAACTGCTTTTTACGCAGGTACCGGCTCTAAGGGAGGTCTTTGGGCATTTACGGACACGTTCATGAGCGCTGAAGTCATGACCAGCTGAGCTTTATCAGCTTGCTGGAGTCAGAAATGTCCCCTCTTCCCCACCGGGCAACTGAACGCAAATAGGATTACAGATTCAAGAAAGCGATGCCAATTATCAAGGGTTTTCTTTGTTTTCATGTTGTTCTGTAGGGGTATTCTTCTTAGGCACCTTCCTGCTCATGATCATGGCTGTGTTAGACACCTTCTTCCTATTGCACCAGCAGCACAAATCCCTACGCCTTGACAAGGTTCTCGGAAGCTTCCAGCAAGGTAAAGCAACCCATAACCTCTTAAAACAAGTGGGTTGGGTCACCTGCACTTTACTGCAGGTGCCTTCGAGCGAGGGTGGGTTTCCTCGGGGCAACCAGCGCCCCAGACAGTACCAGTCGTGGCAGCCACCCGCCACCCCCCCTATACCGACGGGTGCCGCTTGCTCTTTGCAGATGCGCACGCCGAGCTGGCGACGTGAGCCGCGAACACCCCGACCACCAAACCCCTCGCCAAGGAAGGCGCCCAACTGCCGAACCTTCCCCAGGCGGCGCAGGGAAAGGGGCCGCCAGCCAAGCCCAGCTGGCAGCCGCCGGAGCAGGACCTGTTCCTGCCCGTCCTGGAGAAGGTGCTTCTCTACAGCCACTTCTTCCTGTCCCTGGGGTTTTTTGCTGTTATTTCTATAAAATGGAGCAGCTAGAGACCAGCTCAGCACAGGGCTCCTTCAGTCTTTCTCCGCTGTATTGCTTCTAACCCCTCCGCTGTAAGTATTTTCCTGCTTGATTCACAGAGCTGCAGTTGTTTCAGTTGCTGGAATAAAAAAACCCACAAACGTGCATGGCATGAGATCTGCACGCTTAGGGCTTTGCACTCTACTTCGGTAGAGTTCAGTAGAGAGTTCAACTCCGTATGTTCTTCGAATATTCTGTGGGCTAGCGAGGTATTTGAATAAAACAGTTGTGAAATTGGGGGATAATACCTTCATTTTAGCCATCTGTAATTCGTACCACAAACGTGACCATCAGAAAAGGGAGTTAATGCCCTTCTCTTATGGAGACATTTCCATTTTGGGGAAAGAATTCCACCTCAGATAATTAAATAAAACAATTCAAGTCTGAAGCGTTGGCACTATTGTTTCTGTGAGTTTCAGTGAGATCCACACCATTCAGAGAGCTGGGACAGAGAGAATAACAGGATCACCAGGATAAACGGCGTGATACTTGGGATGTTTTAAAAATTACTTTTTTAAGTGTATCTCAATGCATCTCTGCTCCAACTCACAACCAACCTAGAAAACAGCCCTGGACTTCTGCCTGTAGAACTGCCGAGACTTCTCTCCCACTGCGTGGCAGATCACTACCAAATACAGCCCGGCACGGCAAAGGGCTTTGTACGTTCAACTTCTCAGCAACTCTTTGCCTGCCACGGCAGAACTACTACATTCCCTGCACCAGGGGGTTACTGAGGTGAACAGAAGATGCAACAGGACTCGTGTTTATCAACAGGCCTAGCTGGGATCTTGGTCCTTGCTACAGAAACAAGCTCACAGGTAGAAAAGACAAAATCCAGGAAAACTGGGTTATTTGCAAGTCGGTGTATTGTTCCACATTGCTCAACACCTTGCAACCTCATGTCTAAGATCTGAGCCACAAACAGGAGGGGAAGCACTTTATTTAAAAGATCATCGAGTCTGGCAGTCGTTAGGCAAACTGCTTGCAGACAAGTTTACAGATCAGCAATCGGTCTGTGGGGCCAGTACGGGTATTTCTCCATGTCCAGTTTGGTTTCAGGGAAGGCTTCGTGCAAGTCTTCAAACGTCATCTGTTCAAAGGGAATCATGCTTCTGAGCTTCTGCAGCTTGAAGGGGGAGCAGAGACACACACGTTACCCGTCACTTGTCAGCAAGAAAGAGCAAAGCACACGCTAAGAACAAGGTGTGTGCCAGGCTGGGTTAAAGGGAGTACTCACGAAGCAAAGTCCAGACTTACCTGTTGCTCGTACTGGGCAACCCGAGCTTTGGAAGCCTGCACGTATTCAGCAGTGCTCTTTGCCTGCAGGAAAGCAGAGAACGTGGTGAATATGGTTACGATAAAGACAGTGACTTAGAAGAACCTGCAACCCCACGCTGTAAGTTGGCATTAAAATTCATCGTCGTTACGCTAGGGTAAGCGGACAGAATCTTGATCAAATCCCAGACAGCCAAACCCTTCCACAGGCAGAGATCCTCCCGCTTAGCCAAAAGCCAGAGACACGTGCGAAGACCAGAGGCACGCTCTGGCCCAGGCTGCCCTGCCTGCGCAGGTGCACGTACAGAACACCCCTTCCCGTCCTCACAGAGGGCAGAGACAACCCCGGCATCAGGGAACAGTTTAAACACTTACAGCTTCCTGCTCTTGGGCATCAATTTTGGCAGTTTGTGTATCCACTGGCTCAGGAACCTTTAGTGCACTGAACTGTAAATCAAAAGAGAAAATTTGTTTGATTGAAATAATCCTTCACACCAAGCTCATCTTCCCTAGCAGCAGGGGAGCATTCCCTCCTTTCTTCCTAGGATATGCCCACAACAGGGGAAGTTAACCAGCTTTCTAAAGCTGATCACTGCAGCTTGACTGCGTCCTTCACAAGCAGCGCTGCTCACCTGTGAGCTGAAAGCAAGCTGTTCTGCATGGCCTGCCACCACCGGCAGAGGTAATAGCACACACATTCATCACAGCGCTGCAGAGAGCAAAGCACGGCACTGCAAGGAAGCCTAATACCAAAGACTGATCATATCACAGATTTATTTCCCCCGAGACAAAGTTCACAGATCCGTCCGAGGCCAGTGGGTCCTCCTGCTCTTGAGAGGCCAATTTTCACAGCGCCAGTGACACCACGCGTCCTTCAGCAAAAGCCTCGCTCGTGCTTTTCAACTCCTGCTTGTAAAGAGGGTGGAAACCCCTGCAGGCATCCGCTAGCTCTGCACCTTTCAGCGCGCAGAGCCACGCTCCCCACCTCCTTCCCTTTGGTGAGTTAAGAGAAATACTTCGAGCGTTTGCTTCAGGAGAGGCACTACCCGAGAATTCATGCCTGCAGCCAAAATAATTTATCAAGTTTTCTTTCACCAACTGTGCCAAGGTTTCCTCCTGAAAGATGGCACTGAAGTGACCTCCTCGAGGTCAGAGACACTGATCTGCGGGACGTAAAGCTGGGGCATCTGCTAGCCAAAAGCAACCTCCGCTGCCAATTCTGGCGTTCTCCTCTCAACACCAAAGACATTCCCCATTTAAACCTCCAAGAAGAGCAACACCCAGCCGGCAGAGACCGACCTTCTTCTGAAACTCATCCACCATGCCAGCTTTAGCAACAGCAGCCTTGTAGTGAGCCCAGTCGATGGCCGGGGGTTTCTCTGGCAGGGCGGCCAACCTAAAGAGACGGAGGACAGCAGTCACAACCAGCGCTAGAAGTAACCCCGCGCTATCATTTGCCACAGTTACTTTCCAGAGCGTCAACAGAGCCTGCTAAGTCTCATTTAAATATTTTCAGTCATTGTCATTAACAAGCAGCGATGGACCACTTCTGCAAACCCCTCTGCCCTTGAAACAAACTTCGCTATATGGACGAGAAGAGTTGAGCCTGCAGCCCTGCTCCCCTTCAAACTATTATACAGCGTCTCTGGGCGCAGCCCTGTAAGAAAGGGTTAGGCAGTTTTCACAATACTGCGCTAGAGGCAATCAGCAATAGGAACTGTAATAGCCAACAACGTTTGTACCAAGCAGCGGATGCTGAAGCATTTGAGAAGACTCATGAATTCCTACAGCATTTAACAGAACAGCAAAGCTTGCAAAATGTTTTAAACACGCCAAAGGAAACCGCTTTCACAGAACTGCTTTTTTATGTTGCAGCTATTGTTTTACTCTGGGGAGATTTAAGTAAAGATGATTTGCCAAAAAAAAAAGCCACCAGCTGCCTTGAAGGTGACCTGCCAGGACACTTCTGCAAGACCACGGTTACTGACAGCGGCTCACGCCGGTACCGCAAAGGCTGAAGGGTTCAGCTGAGGGGTTGAACCCCCCCCCACGCGGGCGCCGGGCAGGCACTCACCGGGCCGACAGCGCGTCGCTGCGGGTCTTCAGGGCGTTGAACATGGCCCTCTGGTTCGGGGGCACCCTCTCGGCGAAGGCGGCCCAGTCAATGGCCTTGATGGCAGCTCTGCGGCCCGCCATGC